AAGCAACTAGCGTATTGCAACATATCACTCCCTCAAGGGAATAGAAGCGGTGCTGGCTGAATCCATTAATAAACTTGGTGAAGTGTGAAAACTAAAGAAAGAGAAGAAGGTTAGGTTAGGTGCGGCCTTTTGGGATACCCGAATGCCATAGATTTGAATAGGAATAATTTCAATGATCAGTTTGCATAATAATGCTTTACTTTTGTCCTGTATGCACAAAATGTAGCACTGGTTTATCTACTTAAAAATTAGAGTTATTGGTACCATTGGAGTTTTAGAGACGTTTATTATCTTAATGAGAAACTGTTTTGCAAGAAGATACGTGATGCAACACAGAACAGGTATTCTTATATTCTCAATTCGCAGCGCATTTATCTTCACAGCCTTAAAAACCGAAGAGGGTAACCATGACAACGACATGGACATACTTAATGATGCTGCAAAAGAAGGCTGTCTACTTTATGTACCTTTAACTTCTCAGGCTTTTCATTATCTGACTTCTCGGTTGCCTATCCGGCGGCATTGTTTCGTTGATGCCATTCCCGTTAACTTCCTCCTAGCCCATCCGTGCATCATAAGTGAAACTGTATTTAAACATGTATATCTTAAAACATCTTCGGGTAGGACCCATGTGTCGCAGTACATGAGTGATTGTACAAGTTAAGCGAAATAACTGAACATGCTTTTAAGATTTATTAATCTTATGGCTTAATGATTCCAGGTTTGAATCCGGTAAATCATCTTTTTTCAAAAATAGATTGGATGGCTACTAACCTGGTGATTTGGAATAAACCAGTGATTATATTATATTTTAGTGTAGTTTGCATGCATCCCTGCGAATTAAAATCAGTGACCTTCACTTGTCTTAAATGACGAATTCTTACAAATGAGGGAGCACTCGATCACCGTTCTCGACAAATAATAGGTTAAGAATCACAAAAAACATCCAAAAATATCACCTTGATTTTTAAGCATACCGTAAGTTAGGGATGCCCTTTCACACGCCTCCTACTTTGCTGTTAAATCACTCTACAAACGACTAACTAAAGTTGTTAATGTCTAATTAAGCGACGCTCCTTGGGAGACTTAACAATAATTTTGCCAATATCGTAAAGTGTGGAACGTAAGTCGAGTTGAAGCAAAATATTCCGGCTATAGAAATGGCCAGGAAGTCATCCCATCATATTGTAGAGTCCGCCTTATTAATGGATCATTAAAGCAGATACCTTTCTGCCACGCCCCCATGTGAGTTGAAAAAGTGAATAGAAGTAAAACTAAACATCCAGCTTGTTGCTTAATTACTTGAAATGATTAGAACCGCTTGACGTATGAGTACTGCAATACTTCGGTTGTTCTTTTAATTGCCTGGTTTGGTCAGGGTGACACCTAGCGCCAAGCCATTTTACTTCTCCTGAGTGGTGCAGCCTGTAGTAACTCAGCCCTTTTGTATGTAGAGGATATATTTCCTGTCCTACTAGTATGGATTCTTTTGGCTTCCAGGAAAAACTCAGAGCTCTACAATTCTATTGCTTTATTTTTAGTGGCTGATTATGGTTGTGCTTTATGGTGAATGTTTAGGTGAATTATATGAAATCGCAGATAAGGCTTAGCTACTAGCTGGATTACATTAATGTCATTCTAATAATAAAATCATAACTAAAAATTGCAGCTAATATTGTCTAAGATAAAGGAAACTTAAGGTAAAATCCAAGTTTAATAATTCAGCTAAGTCAACATTCTGTCATCGGTCTAGGCTGGGACAAATCACCAGTGAGGCAGAAAACTTCAAAGAAGCTGAACCACGGCAAAACTGCGCAAGGTGCTCCTTCATATTATTTGGTAAATCGTAATGCAGCACCTTTTGAGACAGTAAACGCCTCATTATTTGCAGTAAATTAGTTGCCAAAGCTGGGTGATTCTATGAGGTATCAAAGGGCTAAAAAAGTTCCATAGTTTGCGCAAAGCTGGCTGCAATGAATTGTCGTGAATTGTAGAGCCTTAGAATTCATAAATTTTGGTATGCACGTAAAGTAGAGCAAAAATGTGCCCGTATCTGCCATTGGCACAGTTCCCTTTATTGTGCTCTGAACCGTTTGAGCATTTCTTTGAGTCATCTTATCATCAAAAGTCGGTGGAACCTGATGAATATGACTCAAGCTTTTCCCACTTTTACTTGGCTCTAAGGCAAAAGTAGGAGCAAAAACCCCTCATTAAAGTTGCTATGTGTCACGTTTGGAGAACGTGATTGTAAATCAACACTACACAGCGCCTCATACCTCATAGCGTTGCAAACCCTACCTAGGGGATGCTTGGCACCTAATGATTGGGGAAGGCAAGAATGCTCACCACTACTTCACTTACTCTTTACCCTCATATTCGTCTCCACCCCTCAGGCTACAGTTGTTACCAGTTTGGCATCACGACTAGCCAATCTCAGATGGAGCAGGCGAGACAATTAAGAAAAAT